AAGCAAGGCCCAGGCCTCTGTCTCTACCAAGCAATTCAACCTAGAGCCAACGGAGGGTGCCCACCTGACAATCCAGTTATTAAACATTTATGGAGCCCTTTGTCAGTCATGTTTGCTGAGGCTCATCAAAGAACAACAGAGCCATGCATCTTAGCAAAGGCCCAGAAAGAGTGAGCCTGTGGGTCCAGACAGGCCACAGGCTGAAGGAAGGCAGGACCTAGAGTAGACAGCAGCAGAGGGACTGGGGGTGGGGGGCACCATGAATCAGTGCTCACCTTAGCTTTGGAGTGTTTGCCCGAGAGGATGGCAGAAGGCAGGGAGCAAAGAGGACTATGGGAAGAGGCCCCTCTGAAGAGGTGGATGAGGATGATGGCAAAACCCTGCGAATTGCTTAATACTGATGATTGGGAGGGCTGGCATACTCAGGTGAGGGTCCCATGATCCTCTCTGTCCTCTCTTTCTGTGAGGGAAGGTAAACAGTCAACAGGCCCAGTTGTGGTGATCTTTTATAAACAGGACCAACAGAATTTCTATGGGCTAGAGAAATGACAGCAGTTAAAAACACTTGCTGCTCTTTCAGATGAGCTGGGTTTGGTTCCCAGCACCCACATAGCTCAACCATCTGGGAACTTCGGTCCCAGGGGTACAGTGCCCTCTTCTGACCTCCATTGATACTGCACATATGTGGTGCAGGCAAAATATTCACAAGACATGTTTTAAAAATAAGTTGGGTAGTGAAAACTGGAGAGATGGCTCAGAGGTTAAAGAGCACTTCCTGCTCTTCCAGAGGACCTGAATTCAATTCCCAGCCACTACATGGTGGCTCACAACCATCTATAATGAGATCTACTGCCTTCTTGTGGTGTGCAGGCATACATGCAGGTAGAACACTGTATACACAATAAATAATAAAATAAATCTTAAAATAGGTTGGGTGGTGGTGGCTCATGCCTTTAATCCCAGCACTCAGGAGGCAGAGTCAGGCAGAGTCAGGCGGATCTCTGTGAGTTCGAGACCAGCCTGGTCTACAAGAGCTAGTTCCAAGACAGCCTCCAAAGCCCTGTCTCAAAACCCCACCCCCAAAAAAGAGAGAGAGAAAACATAAAATAATAACAATTTTAGAAATGGCAGGAATTTGGCTTGGAGAATAGTCTTGTACAGCCACCGGTTCTTTCCTTCCACTGTTTTGTTAGTTCTGGGGATCAAACTCAGGTTCGTTTGATCATGTGTTAGGTCTTATGTAAAGTCTCAATGAAAAACTGCCTAGATCAGGATGGCCTGTGGACATGTCTGTGGAGGGTTGTCTTGATTACTGTTGAGGTGGAAAGACTCATTTACTGTGGACAGCATCATTCCCTAGACAGACAAGACAGACAGATAGACAGAGTTTCCTGAACTGCAGAAATGTAGGGAGCTAGGCACAAATAAGCATCAATGTTTTTATGCTCTCTGCTCTTGACTGGATGTGATGTGACTAGCTCTTCAAGCCCCTGCCTTTACTCCCTTGCTATGGTGGACTGTCACTTGAAACTGTGAGCTAAAACAAACCCTTTCTCCCATAAGTGGCTTTTTGTCAGTTTTTATTTTTTCTTTTAAGCCTCTCCAAGGTGACCAGGTTTCCTGGGTTGAGATGCTAGTAGCCTAATTACTTGGGGCATAATTATTTTATTAAAGGAATTTTATTTATTTTTATTTTCTGTACATTGGTGTTTTGCCATTGGTGTCAAGGTACCCTGGAACTGGAGTTGTGAGCTGCCATGTGGGTGCTGGGAATCGAACCCTGGTTGTCTGCAACAGCCATCTCTCCATCCCTGGGGCATAATTTTTTAAATGGTTTATTTTTGTTTTTTTTAAAGATTTATTTATTATGTGTATAGTATTCTGCATCTATGTATGCCTACACACCAGAAGAGGGCACTAGATCTCATTATAGATGGCTGTGAGCCAACATGTGGTTGCTGGGATTTGAACTCAGGACCTCTGGGAGAGCAGTTAGTTCTCTTGTCCTCTGAGCCAGCTCTCTGGCCTGATTTATTTATTTTTATGTGCATTGGTGTTTTGCCTGCATGTTTGTCTGTGTGAGGGTGTCAGTTCCCCAGGAAATGGGAGTTACAGGTACTTGTGAGCTGCCATGTGGGTGCTGGGAATCGAACCCAGGTCCTCTGGATGAACAGCCAGTGCTCTTAACCACTGAGCCATCTCTCCAGCCCCTTGTCATGGTATTTTATCACGGCAACAAACATAACTAAGACACACATCTACCTGCATTGTCACTTCACTGGGCCTCTGCTCCATCCACACCTTTGCTTGGGTCAGGGACCTGGCTGAGACCCCCTTAGAGATCTGGAGAGTGCCATGACTCTCTGTTCTAGCCAAGAACCTGTGTCTTCACCTGGCAAGGGGAAGGAACACCCAGTCCTTTTTCCCATGGGCAATGGAGGGTTTGGAGCCTTGGTGAGCATGGAAGAGATCTACTTGGCAGAGCAGAACAGTATGGATGACCTTTACTGGGGTCATCAGAGCTGTCCTGTGATGACCACGAATAGCCAGGCTTGTTTTCACCTGTTTACTTGCCTAGGAAAACAGAGTTAAATAGTAAACATTGATTGCGGGTCACAGTTCAAGGGAATACAGTCCAAGGCATGGTAGCAAAATCAGACTGGTGGTGGAAGCTTGCTTAAATCCAAGGGATTGCAAGTGTTGCTATTTAGTCCAAGGTGGCTTTCAACAATGTGACTAAAGCCACTCTAAGCTTGAGGCCTCTCAGAAATGGTGAACCACAGATCTTAATTGCTGTATTTTGGCTCAATTTCTACTCCCTCCAGGAAGGCCTCTCTGCCATCCCCACGTGGAGCAAGAGCTATCCGCTGAGATCCTGGGCAGGACTCATGAGCCTCATGGGTTGTCTTTTGCCTAGGAACCCCTGAGCCACCCCTCTGGAGGTGAGGCCTTTGTTTCTTTGGGTATGGTTACCTAGCTTGGTGAACTTAGTCTTTGCCATTGATGTTAGCGTTACCTTCTCTCCTCGGTTCCCTCCTTGGAGTCTCCACCACGTGCTCATAGCACTTGAGCTGTTTTGCTCATCACTTACCTGCAATGTCCTGAACCTGGCAAGTGACCTGAAAATGCTTGAGGGCTAAGGCCTGCAAACCTGCCTCTCTCTGGTTTGTCAGGGTTTTGTTTCAGATCTGCCTGCACACACCCTCACTGCCACCAGGGGGCTTCTCTAAAATAAACCCACAAAGCTGACTCCATTCAGCCTGGTGAGAGCTTCCTTGTCTGGGACCTGCAATCGCTTGCTCTCCAGGGACCCTGAACCAGGCATCCTCTCCTGTTGCCCAGCTCAGGATGAACCTTCTAAGCACATTAAGGGGCGACTCTGATCAGAAGTCTTTTCAAGTGCCCTTGTCCTGCTCTGGAGAGCCTGGGCCATCCTCCTTCCCTGGACTGAGTCACTGCCCACTGTTGTCCAGGCTCGGCCAGCTGGGAGCAGTTAGCGCGTGCTTTCAGCCTCCCCACAGCTCTTCCTGGGGAAGAGCCTGCTAGCTCCTTCCCTTCTTAGGACAGCCAAGGCTGACACTTCTCTCCCGGCAGAGCGCGCACACGCCCCGTCCCCTCAGGGGCCTTTGGGCAACAGACATGGGAGGATTCTGTCCTTCTTCATCCCTTCCGCGTCTCTGCTAGCTGAAATGCAGATATGATGGCTAAAGCTCGGGGTTCCAGGCAAGGAACTCAGGGATTAGGATTGTAGAGTAGGTGCTTTTACCCTCAGAGCCGTCTTGTAACCCCCACCCTTCTTTTTTTTTTTTTTTTTTTTTTGAGGCTGGCTCTCTGTAGCCCTGACGAGGCTAGACCTTACAGTGATCCTTTGTCTTCCACTTCCAAGTGCTAGGAGTAGAAGTGTGTGTCACCATGACCAACTAACCTCTTTGCTCTTGATGTCCCTACAGACCCAACTCTGCCCAGGATGGAGAGACAGGGAAGGAGTCCAAGCTGAGAGAGAATGAGAATGTAGGGGTGCCCTGTGTATACGGGTGTATCCTGGGAGAAGACACAAGTTTTTCAGGGACTTAGAGCATGTGTGTGCATGTGTAGGGGGTGTCCTGTGTATAAGGGTGTCTCCTGGGAGGACATACAAGTTTTCCAGGGGTTCTGACTCCACCTGTTCTGAGAACTGGCCACACTGTGACTCAATTTCCTTGGTCAGCTAGAAAAACCAATGGCACACAGGAAAGGTATATGGCTTCTCACTTCTCGTGAATTGCCAATGTACTTTGGAAATGACACCACATCACCAGAGAAAGGGGGTGGAGGCAGACATCTCTATTGACAAGATAGGGACATGCTGTGAGCCATGAGGTATGATCCTGGTGTGTTGCAAAGTATCCTATACTACTCATATGCCAGTCTTAGGATAGCCCTGATGGAAAATCAGGGAAACACACGGTAGGATAGCACTGTTTGAGGCCCACATGGGGACCAGATCCCTGCATTTCCTGCCTTGCTGTCCTAGTCAGTGGTCTAAAGGGTGAGGACCAGGCCTATGGTAGAGTCACCACTCCCAAAGCAGAGAGGGCAGGGAAGGAGGGAGGGGGCTGAGGCCAGGACTAGGCAGCCCCAAGAAAGGCCCTGAGCTGAGTTTCCAATCCCTCAATGTGGCTTTGTGGCTCTAGCCCTTAGTCTTCAGATACCACCCAACAGCTGGTCTAAGATGGCATAAAACTCCCTTGGTAGCTGAAGATGACCATGAATTGAGTCTCCTGCCTCTCAAGTCTCCTTGCTGCAATATCACCATATACTACCACAGCTGGCCACAGCTCTGGATTCTATAAGAGACATGCTATTCTCCAGCTATGACTAGGGGACCCAGATAGGACATGACCTTGTAATACCCTCAGGAAAACCTACAGGTGGAAGATAGACCCCTGACCATTCCCACCACCCCAGAACTCAACTTTGGGGCATGGCACCAAAGCCAGGAGAAACCACAAGCATACAGGTGAGGAGTTTCAAGGACTGTTGAGTCCCAGGTAGATGTACATTTGTGAAGAAACCCTGACACAATTCCAAAGGCTCCTGGGGCCAGTCTCTAGGAAGCCCACTGCTTCTGGGCTCAAACCCCAGGCTGGAAAAGTCCTGGTTTTCAGGCTTAGGCTGCAGTTACCCCTCAGCAGAGCTGGGTTGCAGGGACAGCCACGGACTTTGGCTGGGGACCCACAGGCTTCTTGAGGGCTCACTCCCCGCTGTGCCTGGCTTTTCCGGTCATCCGGCGGCGGCGCTGGGTCTTGCTGGTACGAGTGGCACTGGGAGGTTTCTTGGTGGAGTCCTGGGCCCGCCGAGGGTGTTTCCTCTTGACCTTCTTCCGACTGTGTGCATGCAGTGTGGCTGTGAGGGAGGAGATGCTACGAGGAGAGTGGAGGCTGGTGAGGCCAGGGCCTTGGCCTTCCCTTAAGACTCAGGCAACAGTGGGAGGCTGGGTACTGATCATCTGACTCATGGATGAGAAGCTGGGACAAGCTCCAAACACATTTCAAACAGCCTGGTCTGGCTCTACAGAGCCTGACAGGCTCCTCACCCCCGCCCCCAGGCTAGGGTAACCACATGCCTAGCGACTAGTACCAGACAGGAATGGGACCCAGCAACTACAAGCCAGAGCTTACCGCTGAGATAGGAGGGGATCTTTGGACTTCCTGGGCAAGGCTTTTGTTGGCTTCTCCATGCATGACACCTCCTCCTGGGACCCATCCAGGTCCCCTTGCTGGAGAAACAAAGGAAAGGGACTGTTACAGGGAGTGGACAGGCACCCTGAGCAGTCCTACCTTTAGCACAGAAGTGTGGCCAGCTACCTTAAGGGAATGCATAAGGCTCAGGGCAGAAATGCACTGTGTATGTCTGTCCTGTTTAGCCTTAATTACCAACTTGACATACCCCGGAGTCATCTGAGAGAAGCCTCAATTGAGAAGTCGCCTAGATCAAGCTGGTCTATGGGCAAGACCAAGTCCACACTGGGTAGCATCATTCTTTAGGCAGGTGGTCCTGGGCTGTATGAAAAAGCTAGCTAGCCATGAACTAGTGAGAGAGTGAGTCAGAGTGAGCATAGTTTCTACTTCAGGTTCCTTTGTTGAGTTTCTCACCTGACTTCCTTCTATGATGAACTGTGGCCTAGAAGTATAAGATGAGCAAACCCTTTCCTCCCCTAAGTTGTTTTGGTTTTAGTGTTTGTCACACTAGCAGACAAGAAAATAGAACATTGTTTGAGAACGAGAATGACAAAGGACAGCCTGTTTCCAAACATTCACAATAGCAACATCAGCAAAATGACAAGACATTGTGTCAGGCCCTAGAGAAGGACAAGCATAAAGCGGATAAGTAGAAGTCAGTCAGGCCATGGTTTTCCAGGATGTAGACACTGCAACTCAGGGCAGGAGCTTTCTCCCTCTGAGATAAGGACCCAGGCTGGTCTTGAACTAATGATCCTCCTGCCTTCACCTAGCCTTGTGTGCTTCCATGCCTGTCCTTGGAAATGTGTGGGGTTTTGTTCTGTTGTTTTGTCATGTTGGAGACTAGACCTAGGGCCTCACATTCTGGACAAGCTGCATCCTTAGTCTGGAAATGTTCTTTATACTGTACTCTCTGGGCAGTTGGAGTCGACCAGCTACAGAATGAAAAGAAATAAAACATCTGGAAGGAAGCCGGGCGTTGGTGGCACACACCTTTAATCCCAGCACTCGGGAGGCAGACGGATCTCTGTGAGTTCGAGACCAGCCTGGTCTACAAGAGCTAGTTCCAGGACAGCCTCCAAAGCCACAGAGAAACCCTGTCTGGAAAAAAAACAAAAAACAAAACAAAACAAACAAACAAACAAACAAAAAATCTGGAAGGAGACACAGTGTCTGTGCTGAGCATAGATTTCTTGTCTTTTTTTAAAAATTGTTTTAGATTTTTAAATTGATGAATATATTGCTTGCATGTATATCTACACACCACATGCATGCCTGGTGCTTGCAGAGGTCAGAAGAGGGGTCAGATCTCTTGGAACTGGAGCGGTAAGGACTCAGGCATTATGCTGGCCTGCCCCTGTTGTGAGTCACCATGTGGGTTCTGGGAATTGAACCTGGGTCTTCTGCAAGAGCAGAAAATGTTCTTAACTGCCGAGTCATCTCTCAAGGTCCTAGACTCATGCTATTCTTTGAACACTGCACTGTAACAACTCAGGATAACTTACAGAGTATTCAGATTGTTTTTGTATTATTTAGTGTGCATGTGTTGGGTGGTGTGCGTGTGCGTGTGTGTCTGTGTGTGTGTGTGTGTGTGTACGCGCGCGCACGCGCGCGCATGCATGCATGTGTGTGTGATCTGTATACCCCAGCATGTGTGTAGGAGGTCAGAGCCAGCTCTCTGTGGGAGCCAGCTCTCTCCTTCCACCAAGTGGAGTTCCAGAGCTCCAGGGACTGAACTCAGGCTATGGAACTCAGGTAGTGGAAGCACCTTTACCCCTAAGCTATCTCACTGGCCTGGCATTCAGTTTTCTAAGTAACTAGGAGATGAATTAAAGGACAAGGGAGGACCTGCGTAGGTTCAATGTAAATACCACAGCATTTTATTCAAAAGACTTGAACATATGCAGGCCTGAAGGGACTCTGATATAGAAATTCCTACATAAGCCACAGGCATAGCTTGAAGTGGAGCGGGGGTTTTGTTCCACTTACTGGGATGCTGTTGTTTTCAATTATTGAACAAGTTATTGAGTATGCACAACCTATATTACAAAGTCACCGCCCTTGTGCACACATGCCAAGGGCATATGTACTGCTTGCCACACAACGGTTACAGTCACTGTAAGTGGTCTGTTGAGCACTTACTATAGCTGGGCTCAGTACCAAGGGCCTCACCTCAGTACCAAGGGCGCATCTCATGGTTATTCATCTCCATACCCAGGCAGGTCTACCACGGCAACACTCAGCTAACTGATGAACTGAGCCATACAAGAAAGCTGCCAGGAGCACACTTCTAGCAGAAGACCCTTGACCTGGGCAGGCACTGAGCAGCCCCCACAAACCAACCTACCCCTAAATCCCTTCTTCCCAGGGCTGCCCTGGCACCTACCTCAGGCAGGGGCAGACCTAGCAGCCGGGCCCCTGAGAGGTCCAGGTCACTGATGGTGGTCACGGTGACTGTGTGATTGGGGTGGTCATACTGCACCGACTCTGTTTTTGCTGTCACCAGCCGCTCCAGCTCATCTGCCTCCTCTGCAAGGTGGACACAGACCAGCCTTCAGCCCTGGCTCAGCCACCAGGCTCCAGCCTCCCACCTAGCCCTGGAGGGATGGGGACTGGCACACAGCGTGCTTTTCTAGACTAGCCACCAGGCTCCAGCCATTCTTTCCTTGTATCTCCCCCACCTACCCTTTCTTTCTGCATCTACAGAGTGGTTCAGAGTCCCACCCACATGAAAGTGCTGGAAATGACCCTGTCATCCCTCTTGCTCCAGTCTGTCCCTGCTTTGGAGAAACTGAGTGGCAACAAGAACTGTTCCATCCCCAGGCTCCCTGCTCAGCTCAATTTACCATGTGGTTTGGGTCCCCTGGTCTCTGATCCACCCTTGGCCCCTCCATCACCACCAAGATCTCTATGGCTAAGAACCCTCTATCCAGTTTTCTCCCCATTGTTCCTTATCCCCACCAGGGGACACAGAAGCCCAGGCTTACTAGATGCTCTCCACATAAGAGCTAGCTGGGGACTTACCCAGTGCCTCCTCTCTTTCTGCCAGCATCTTCAGGTATTCCTGGTGGCGCTGAAGTCAAACAGGATGAAGTGATGGTGTTAACTGTTAACCCGACAGAATCTAGGATGGCCTGGGAGATGGGCCTCTGAGCATATCTATAGGGTATTATCTAGAGGTGAGAAGACCCAACCACTATGGGTGGTACCATTCCCTGGCTGGGATCCTGGGTGGAGAAAGAGATCTGAACAGCAGTGCCTTCATCACTCTGCTTCCTGATTCTGGATGTGATAGGACCAGCCGATTCACACTCCTGCAACCTTGACTCACCTTGACTCACTCACAATGGTCTGTGCCCTTGAACTGAAAGCCAGAATAAACCCTTTCTCCCTTAAGTTGCTTTTGTCAAGAGTTTTATATCATGGCCATAGAAAGAGATACTAAAACAGAAATGAACACAGGGAGAATGGCCTTTCAGTCCATCCCAGGCAACAACCCTGTTCACTTCCATGGTGTGAGACTACAGTTCATAGAGCAAGCTCAAGAGGAGACTCATCCTTCACACCCCCAGTGCCTACTTGTGTAAACAACTCCAGTCATGCTCACACACCTCCTGCTCTGCCTGTAGCTGCCTCCATCAGACCCATCCAACACTGCCCCTCCCCTGGGAGTTGAGCCCCCACCCCTCCAATCCCTCATCCTTCTCTGTCCTGCACCTCTTCCCGGAGCTTCTTCTGCTCCTGCTTCAGCCGCTGTTTTATCTCCTCAATGGCCGCCTTCTTCCTCTCCACCTTCCGTTTGTGGAAGCCTGTCAGGTATTCCCTGCAGGAAGGAAAGCAGAGGAGAGTCAAAGTCAGGAGGAACCACCAGGAAAGAGGGGCTCTAGAGAAACTCCCAATGCCATAAGGACCAAGCTCTACCCTACCCACTAACCCATTCTACCCTCTCAACAGCCTGTCCTTATTTTACAGATAAGGACAGAGGGAGAGACTAGGTCACAGAGAACATAGTTGAGTCATTCAATGACAAGGGTACCTCATGAGAAACGAGTTGCTAGTCCTGGCTGGACCATCACGGTGTACTAACATAATCCTAGGTGGTGTAACCTACCACATACCTATGCTGTAAGCTAAGTCTCATTACATGCTCCATCATTAAGCACATGTCACCACATAAGGTTTCGTGCCCCTTGGTGGGTACACACAATACCAGATGGTCGAGACACAGAGCAGGTGGGGGCTGCTTCGACACTGGTAGGAGTCTCCTCTAATTGGGCTTTCCAAGATGGCCTTCACCCAGGCCCCACTGGTGGGGTGGGACCTAGGGGTGCCCCGCACCTTCCCAACTCTTGCTTCCTTCTACTATCTTATCTCTGCTCTGGTCCCGATTTTGTTGTTGCACTGGAGGGTTAAATCTAATTAGTTTATATTGCTTTGGGGACAGGGACATCACCCAAATGCCCAGATTGGTCTTGAACTCTCTCTGAAGCCCTTTACTTTGCAATTCTCCTGCATCAGCATCCTGGTGGTTTAGGATTACAGGTCTACACCACCACGCCTGGCAACTACAGTTTCGTTTGGTGCGCTGAACTAGGGTTTTCGCAGACCCACTACAATGTGTTATTTATCTACGGTGACACTGAATCGCAAACATTCAGCCTCCGGGTCCCAAGCTTGGTTAAACATAATATGAGTGAATGAATGAACATAAGCCCCTCTTATCCCATTCGCTCGCCGTTTGTCGACGACGACTAGGAGCTGACTGTGGGCCGGGACCATGGACCGAGCAGGATTCGGGTGATCCAAGGCACAGCTCTGCGCAGGCCGGAATCTGCGAGTGGAGAGCGGGCGACACCATCCCGCCTGGTCCGGCACGTCCAGGGGCGGAGCCGGAAGGGTACCCTGTGTGGACATGCGCGCCCTGGACCTGGCGAGGCCTCTCCAGGCAGCCCGGCCGGAATCCGGTTCGACCCTGCCACTCACCGCCGCTTCTCTTCATCGAAGCTGAGGACGAGCCGAGGGCGCCGGTCATCTCCATCTCGCTTCTTCTTCTTGTTGCGGCCCATAACAGGGAAGCTTCCGGCAGCGTGGCTGCTCCTCGCATAAAATACTTCCGTGTGTAGCAGTTTCAGATGTCCGGGAGAGCGCATTCAGTGGCCTTGTTCCACAGTTCCGTCGACTTGTCTCCGCCTTTTAAAGGAGCCTCCACCCTGTCTCCACAGTTCAGGTTTTCCCAGAATGGCTTTAGTGATTCCATCACCTAGCCTGGCCCTAACAGGCGCTCAATATGAAGTTATTAGTGAATGCCTAAAAACTACTGATCCTAGAAGCGCCTTTAATCCCAACAGGCAGATCTCTTGAGTTAGAGGCCAACTTGGTCTAACAGTGCGGGACAGCCAGGGGTACACAGAGAAACCCTGTCTCAAAAAATCAAAACAAACAAACAAACTGATCCTAATTGAATTCTGATGTCAACTCTTTGGTGATTTACACGAGCGAGGAAAACTACCTGGATTCTAACACTGGTAATCATCTACCAGCTGTGTGGCCTTTTTACTGTTTTAAGATGAAAACAACCGGATGGTGGTGGTGCACACCTATAACTCAGCACTTGCTGGCAGTAAGTCCCAGGACAGCCAGAGCAGACATAATAGCTCTACATAATAGAGAGACACTATATAAAAACAAACAAATAGAGCCGGGCGTTGGTGGAGCACGCCTTTAATCCCAGCACCCGGTAGGCAGAGGCAGGCAGATCTCTGTGAGTTCGAGGCCAGCCTGGTCTCCAGAGCAAGTGCCAGGTTAGGCTCCAAAGCTACACAGAGAAACCCTGTCTCGAAAAACAAACAAACAAAAAAAGAGTTAAATTTAAAAAAAGAAAAACAATTGCCTGAGTGAGTTTACGTGTGTACCACGTAAGTGCAGTAGTGCCTACAAGCCTAGAAGAGGGTGTCAGATCCTCTGCAAGGAGAGTTACAAATAGTTGTGAGTCATCATGTGGGTACTAGGAATCAAACTCAGGTTCTCTGCAAGATAAATAAGAGCTGTTAACTGTTGAGCCATCTCCCCAGCGCCCTTGCTCACATTGCCATTTTCTTTGTGCCTCATTTACCTATTTGTAAAGTACAGATAATTGTAGTGACTTTGTAGGGCTGTTGCAAAAGAGGTGGTTCCTAGAACTTTGGCATGCACTAGATGCCCTAGAAGGCTTGCTGAAACCCAGATTCAGGGTTTGTGGTTCAGTACATTTGGTTAGAATATCCATTTCTAGCACATTCTCAAATGTCCCCGAATACCGCTCCTGCATGCAACAAACTTTGAGAGCCATGACAGCAGTTAGACAAGTATGTCGTATCAGGAATGTGTAACACAGTGCTCTGCCATACTCAGGTTTGGTGCACAAGCCACATCAGCTATGTGCCTCAGTTTCCCCAAGTATGGAAAGGGAGTTTAACAACACACCTTCTACTAACCATCACAAGGGTTTGAATGTGAAACTCTGGGTGAAATAACACCAGACAGGCATTTTAGAGACTTCATTGTACAATTGGCTTCCCCTATTCTCAAGACTTTGTGCTGGCTGCTGGAGACATGGCTGATGCTCTTGACTGTAAGGACCAGCCCTGTGGCCAACTCTGTGATCATGATAGTGCAGGGGAGAGGCCTCTGAAGCAAGAAGCTCAGGAGGCTGCAGGGAGTCAGGACTGTCTCCAGCAATGTGGAGGGAAGGAAGGGGCCCAGAACAGGTGATGATACACAGGGTAATTGACAAAAACCAGACTCTTAGGATCCAGTGGTCTTCCAGATAGAAGCCCATAGAGCCAGTATTGAATGCCTAGTGTGTGCCAAGCACACGGAGAGGCAAGCTGTCACTTAGGAAAGGACTGTGTGGCCGGGCAGTGGTGGTGCAGGCCTTTCATCCCAACACTCTGGAGGCAGAAGCAGGTGGATCTCTGTGAGTTAGTGACCAGCCTGGTCTATAAGAGCTAGTTCCAGGACAGCCTCCAAAGTCACAGAGAAACCCTGTCTTGAACACCCCCCAACCAAAAAATAAATAAATAAATAAGAAAGGACTGTGCAGCCTGGCAGTGGTGTCGCATTCCTTTAATCCCAGCACTCAGGAGACAGAGGCAGGCAGATCTCTGTGAGGTCAAGATCAGTCTGGTCTACAAAGTGAGTTCTAGGACAGCCAGGGATACACAGAGAAACCCTGTCTTGAAAAAAAGAGTGAGGGAGGGGAGAGGACTGTGCTAGTACTAGAACATGAGCCTGATCTCCTGTCTTTGGTCTGTCTCCCTTCCTAGCTCCCTGGCCACTCCGTCAGAAGCTAATGTGTCTACTTTAGAACCCCAGGATGCAGAGTGGGAAGATGATTCTTCGGAAGGAGCCTCACTTACAGTAGGCATGATACCCTATAGATGTTGGATTTCCCTCACAAGGGTCCCCCACTTGGAGACCCCATGTTGGATGCTGAGAAGTTATCTTAGTGGGTCCCCAAACTGGGTATGGTGACATATGGCTGTAATCCTAGCAAGGAGGATCGGAAGTTCAGGGTCATCCTTCAATACATAGAAAATTCGAGTCCACCCTAGGCTACTGGAAACCCCATCTAAAGGAGAGGCTTCAGGGCACTCTGACATATGCACTTCTGAGTGGTCACTTCTCCCTGAGGGCAAGCCCTCCTGTCACCCTTGGTATCTCCCTCTGGGTAGAGGCATTGCCCCAGCCACAGTGTGCCTCCTTTCTGCTGTGGGACTATCACCTGCTGCTCCATCCTCCCCTGTGGCTGTGGACTGAACAGAAGTTTTGTGGCCTGACTTGGTAAGTCAGAGCCTGTTTCTCTTGCCAGCCCCTTCTCAGACTCCTCCCCATCTGAGGGTCATTCACTTGATGCCTTCTGGGCAGAGGCTGTGGCCTGTGCTGCCTCTTTTTATTGTTGTTTTGGTTTGGTTTTTTGAGACAGAGTCTCTCTACATAGCCCTGGTTACCCTGGAACTCACTATATAGACCAGGTTGGCCTCGAACTCACAAAGCTCTAGTTGCTGAGTGAGGGATTAAAGTAAAGGTGTGCAGCAGATAGCTGACAGTCTGTGTAATTTTATTATTATTATTTGTAATTATCTTATATGAATTTTGCCCCGAGGAGGTCAGAAAAGAGTGTTGGATCCCCTGGAACTGGAGTTATAGATGGTTGTGAGCTGTCATGTAGGTGCTGGGAATTGACCCCCGGTCCTCTGGAAGAGTGGTCAGTGCTCTTAACTGCTGAACCTTCTCTCCACCCCTGTGGTGATCTTTACAGCCTTCCTGTCAGGTCAGTGCAGTTTTGATTCCTGCTATACAGATGATAAGGCTTAAAGAGGGAAAATGAGGGCTGGAGAGATGGCTGAGAGGTTAAGAGCATTGACTGCTCTTCCAGAGGACCCGAGCACAATTCCCAGCAACCACATGGTGGCTCACAACCATCCATTATAAGATCTGGTGCCCTCTTCTGGACTGCAGGAGTACAGGCATATAGAACAGTGTGTACACAATAAATAAATCTTTAAGAAAAGGGAAAGTGGGCCTGGCATTGGTGGCACACACCTTTAATCCCAGCACTCGGGAGGCAGAGGCAGGAGAATCTCTGTGATTTTGAAGCCAGCCGGGTCTCCAGAGCGAGTGCCAGGATAGGCTCCAAAGCTACACAGAGAAACCCTGTCTCAAAAAACAAAAAACAAAAAACAAACAAACAAAAACAAAAAAAGGGAAAGTGACTGGCTCAAAGCCACTCAGTATGGGAGCCAGGGAGCCACTGCCCTGTACACAGTGCCCCCCCCCCAAGGCTTCTTGTGTGTTCCAGAGACAGGAATGAGATGGCTGCTGGCTGGGACCTTAGGAGAGAGCTCTGCAAGATTGATCCTCCCTCAATCCAGCTGTGGGCCCTGCAGTGCCTAGGGAGACCATGACACCTCCCCAGGGAGAGTGAAATATGCCACTCTGTGTCAGCCCTACTGTCCTACACTTCACTCGTATCGGCTAGATTTCTGCTTGCAATTATTTTTCCATTTACTGGGTATTTAATGAGTGCCAGAGGCAGCAGGGGATGCCACACAGAAAGAAAGGAGACAAGCAGTGGCTGTTTATTCAGCTATTTTTATGTAATGTCTGGAGATCTGACCCCCATTTCACTAAGAAGACAGGCTCAGTCAGCTGCAGCCTGAGGCTACACAGTTGAGAGCAGGTCCAGCATTCAAGAGGCAAAGGCAGGAGGCTCAGCCATTCAAGGTCATCCTAGGCTCCATAAGGAGCTTGAGGCCTGCTGGAGAGAGGGATGGGTGTGTGCTTAGGTTGGCACCAATGGTCTAATAAGTGGTCTTTTTAACTTCTCTAGACCAGCTTGCTAGGCTCCTGGGAAATACTGAGCCTTAAAGGGTGTGAAGAGAGCTGGGCATTGGTGGCTCACGCCTTTAATCCCAACACTCAGGAGGCAGAGGCAGGTGGATCTCTGTGAGTTCAAGACCAGCCTGGTCTACAAGAACTAGTTCCAGGACAGCCTCCAAAGCCACAGAGAAACCCTGTCTTGAAAAACAAACAAAAAAAAGGGTGTGAAGAGAACCAGCATTTTCTGAGCCCCCACCAGGTGCCAGGCACCACACGTGTACAGAGACGATGAATTTCCAACCACACAGAGTATGCACCCCTGTTAACTCGCTTTGACAAAAAAGGAAGCTAAGCCACAGGGATTCTGTGTAACAGGTTGAAGAGCACACATCAGTGGAGCTGGTATTTGAACTCGGCTCTCTGATTCTATGCCCAGTGGTCTCTCTCCTCTCCTCCGTTGTCATCCCTCACACAAGGCTAGTGCTAAGCTCCTGTTGAAGAATCCTATGGTCACTTGTGAAGACAGTCTAGGGACATTTTCTTTATAGCCCAGCAGAGGGCGCCTCCTC